CTTAAACAGTAGACTATATTTTATTGTGATCATGAACTTCTTGTCTTTTCTCCTGGGTTTTTAACTTTGTTCAGTTCAATGTCTCCAAACAGGGTGTGGAAAGAGGAGTGAATGACGGAGAGAGCTACAGTGAGAGTGTGCAAGACTGTGTGTTTTACTACTGAGAACTATGCTGAGAGTGTGTGGATCTCTAGTGTGAGCAGCTTCCTAGTGAATACCTGAATTCAAATGGACAGAGTGAGGGGGGACTGATGATGTTTTGTTGTTGTTGTTGTTGTTTACTCTCTTTGCCTTTCCCAAAGGTGTCCAGAAACACAAAATGTAACGGGCATATCAGAATTCCATCTCCTGGGCCTCTCAGAGGATCCAGACCTGCAGTCCCTCCTCTTTGGACTGTTCCTGTGCATGTACCTACTCACAGTGCTTGGGAAACTGCTCATCATCCTGTTGGTCAGCTCTGACTCCCACCTCTACACCCCCATGTACTTCTTCCTCTCCAACCTGTCCTTGGCTGACATCGATTTCTCCTCCACCACGGTCCCAAAGATGCTCATGAACATCCAAACTCACAGCAGAGCCATCTCCTATGTGGGCTGCCTGACTCAGATCTCCCTTTTTATCTTTTTTGGATGTATGGATGATCTGTTTCTGACTGTGATGGCTTATGACAGGTTTGTGGCCATCTGTCATCCTCTGCATTATCTGGTCATTATGAGCACTCGACATTGTGGCCTCTTAAATTTGGCATCATTTTTGCTGAGTCTTTTGGACTCCCAGATGCACAGTTTCATGACCTTAAAAATTACCAGCTTCAAGGATGTGGAAATTTCTAATTTCTTCTGTGACCCTTCTCAAATTCTGAATCTCTCCTGTTCCGACACCTTCTCTGATAACATTGTCAAGTATTTTCTCGGAGCCTTCTATCGCCTTTTTCCCATCTCAGGGATCCTTTTCTCTTACTACAAAATTATTTCCTCCATTCTGAGGATCCCCTTCTTAGGTGGGAAGTACAAAGCCTTCTCCACCTGTGGGTCTCACCT